AATAATATTTTAATTAAAATGATAATTAATTAATTATTAATCATAAAAGATGTATTCAACTTAAAATAAAAATATACAAACTTATTAAACATAATAAAAAATAAAAAATTATTTAAACTTTTTACATAATTCAAAAAAAAATTCAAATATTATACTAATTTTCATCCTTCATTGTCACCACTTTTCCTAACTTTGGACATTAGCTCCACTAACATTGATTCAGCAACAAAACTCGCCTTTGTCATAATGAACCGCGCTTGAATTTATTGAACTTCTAGAAAGCAAAGCAAGAGATAGATTACAATTATGACATGCTTGCCACAAAGTTTATATAGTCATTTTTTTAATATTTGAATATTTAATTTAATAAATCATTTTTATTTAAAATAATTAAATTCAAAATTTTTTTAATCTCGTCATCAAAAATATATATCTCATTTAAAAATTTTGATTGCACCAATCATTTGATTTGGATTTAAATTGTTGTAACAGTAACCACACATTATTTGAAAAACCAAAATCGCAGAATCCAAATTCTCATGTCCAAAATATTTTTATTTAAAAATAGAATTTTAGGGCATGGGAGATACTTACGAAAGTATAATTAATAGTATTTTTTGGGCATTTCGTTTTCCGAAAATTATTGGAAAATGGAAAGAAAATAAATAAATAAATAAATAAAACAAACAGTAGGGAACAAAACGAAAAGAAGCAGGTCAAATCCAATACCTTTTTCCATTGTGACGAGGAGAGACGGAAAAACAATTGAACTTCCTTCAATTGGTTGTCTTCCCCTTTGGAGTTATCCTCAACATTAGCAGAAATCCTCTACATTCACTGCTGATGAGCTGAACCCACGTGTTGGAAACCGATTGGTCCTTAGTGAAAACTAATATTGACTCGCTCTACGTGCCCGGCAAGTGACAGTATGGACCAATCAATAAAAACGGGGTCCCAACGGGGATTTAGTCTAGTTGGGGTCCCATCTGAAAATGAACCGTTAGCGAGAAATGGCTTGGCATTTGGCAGTTTCCATCCCTCTTTTATCACCTATCATAGCTTTATGGCTTTTGCTAATGCCGCACGGCTATTGTCAAAAGGTCACTGTCGAAGACCAATTTAACTCAACTCAACTCTTATACAAAAATCAATTCAGTACCCATTTCTAGGAAGAGTTCCTGCCTCATTCACATCAAATTATTGCATCACCTAATTAACTCCCTCCCCTTGTTCTTGAATTTTATAGATTAATATTGTTTTTCTTCATCCATTTTCCTTTTTTTTGTACATATAAAACACTTCTTTTTAAATTCAAAACTTTTAAATTTCGATTTCAATTTTTAACCTTTACCATGTTTTAATAGAAATTACTAAAAATTTAAGATGTTCTTAAATCACATCTATACAAATTTTAATCATGAAAGGAAAAAGCTATAATATTATAAAAAACTTTCAAATTAAAAAAATTTAAATAACTTTTTATTCTTATATTACAACTAATAAAAATTTTATATTTTTATTTTAAATTAAATAAATTTTTATGATTAACAGCTAACAAGCTATTGTTACTCAAAATAATATTTGTTATTTTATATTCAAGTGGTGTTAATGTAACATTGACATGTAAAGATAAAAACGTGGTATAAACATATCATTATGTTGTATAAGCATGTTATGTTATCATCTATTATGACAGTTTAGCACCACGTGATATAAAAATGACAAATAACATTTTGACTAATAAACTTCATTAACCATCAACCATAAAAGGTATATTTTGATCAAAATAAAGTATAAAGATTTAATTTAACAGAATAAAAGAATATTTTTTTTTTAATTTTTCAAATAGTTTAAAAACTATTTGACATATTATACCAAAAAAATTAAGTGTTATCATCTCATGCCAAGCTAAATTTCTTCAATTTGTAGAAATTTGGTTTGATCTAATAATTTATTTGCATCATTTGTCACATAATAATATAGTTACAAGAGGTTTATCTCCCTTTTTTTTCCCTTAGAAAAAACATTATACAAATTTAAAATATTCACTTGAATTTATGAGATAAAATAAGTGAGGCAATGTGGGCTTCTTTCATCCACATATCCAACTTGTCGCTTTTAACCTGACTTGACATGACTTGATTTGTAACATAAAATCGTACCACAAATGGAAAAAGAAAAATGGGAATCCAACCTGTCCCACTTTGATTTCATTTTTTCTATAATGTTTTGATTATCTTTAATTTATATATATCATATATTATTTTGATATAAAATATATTTCAAATGCTGCTTTTTCTTGTTCAAATCATCTGTCACGTAAATCCTAAACAATATTATCAAATATTTATATATAAAAATAAATTACTTTTTAAAATTTATTTGAAGGTGATGTTGAATTGGCCTAAATACCCAAACCCAACTAATATTTTCATTTTAAAACTTTGTCTTCAAACATAAATAGAAAAAAAATTCCCTGAGATAAATTTTGAGTAATTGATTTAGAATACAAATGTGTTTATAAAAATTTAAACTTTTATAGATAAAAAAAATTCGCTTCGTAAATCTAATTAAGTAAAAAATTCAAATTTAAGAAATAAAAAGGTTTTAAAAAAATTTAAATAAACTCTTAATTCAATCTAGTTCTTATTTTTATTTTGAATAAAATGAATTTGTATATTTTTGTTTTAAAGTAAATAAGTTTTTATGATTTTATGATAATATTTAATTTAATTAAAATATTACTTATTATTATATAATACATGACATACTTATATGTCAATAATAGATAAGATGTGACATATTGATATGATATAATAACATGATCTTAAAATATTTTTTACCTTTCACATCACACCACATCCACAAATGTAAATATAAAATAATAAATAATATTTAATTAATTATAATAATTAATTATTAATAATAAAAACTTATTTAATTTAAAATAAAAACAAATAAACTTCAACAAATTAGTAAAAAAATATTTAAATATTTTAAAATAATTTAAACATTTTTTGAAACATCATGCCGAAAAAAAACGTATTCTTACCAAACCAAACCTATTTAATAGCAGTAAAACAATAAAACAAATTGGTTTTTTGAATAAGTATATATATGAAAAAACATCTAGAGATAAGAATGAGCAAATGAGTGGATTAGGTGGTCATACTTAAAAATTAAATGGATCACATATTTTTAAAAAATTAACAAAAATCGATCAAACCGACCAAACATAAAATTGGTTTGGTTTTGCACCAATGGACTAAAAATATATCACTTTTTTTAATAAATTATAATATTAAAACTTATAAACTTTATCTATAATTATAATATAGACAACTTATATATAGATTAAATATATATAATATTATTTTATTATATATATGAAATTAATGACACAACTTATATGTTATAATATTTTAATTTTTATATCAAAGTTTGTATAAATAATAACTAATTATAAAAAATATGTTATAAAAACCAAGGTGATAATTAATAAGATTATTAAGTATAATGATATAACTAAAATTTATTATAAATTATAGTAATATTTATATATAAATTAAATATATACATTTATAATATTTTATATTACAAAATATTACTAACATATAATAATTATAATATATTAATATGTAGAATATTTACTATCATGTATTATAATATTAATATATAAATTATATCATTTAAAATGTATAATTTGTAATTTTATATTAATATAGATTTATAAATGAATTATATATATAATTAAAATTAAATTATTATAATTATAATTTGTATACATATATATAATAAATTAATATATTTTAAATATATTATTAATTAAATTTACTATCAATTCTTCTTAATATATATAAAAAATATATTATATATTAATATATTAAAAAAATTAATTTAATTTTTTCAGTGGATTGATTTAAAAATTTTAAAATCGATGACAGATCAAAAAAAATTAAATGAAACATTTTGAATTAATTAGATCAAATTATGCTGCTTAAATTACATTTAATTTTATAAATAAATAATTTAATTTAATTTGATATTGGCTCATCCCGGCGCGGAGAGATGAAACACAAGAGGTCCTGGAGGTACAGCTTTTCAAAACCCCAAAAATAATGTAAAACATTAAAATCGAAAAGGACTGAGATAATTGCAACGGAAGGAAGTGTCTATCAGCTAAAAAGTTTGCATATTAAATGTTCGACCTTTTGCCGTGACTGCGACGGGAGGGATACGTGTGGCGGAGAATAGTGAATTGGATTTAATGCTTTTTGGTTTATTCCTTCTATTTTTTTCTTTAAAAACTCTCTTCTTTGCCTTTGTTATCGGAAATATGCAAAATCTAAATGAATACAGAAATCTAAATATGGCCTTTTTTTTCGGTTTCAATTGCTTCTTTCTCTTCCTCCCTTAAAGGAAAGCTGGTTTACGCTCGACAATGACCCGACTGCTCCTTCCTTTGGCCCATTTGCTTCAGTGGACACGGCATCTCCTTCTCAAAAGTAAACCCATATCATTACTATTTTCTTGTATTATGATATAAAGGAAAAGAATAATAACTATAAGAGACAAGCTAATACAATTCTAAACTCTTTTTTATCTATATTTATTCTCTTGATTCTTGTTATATATTTAATGATAATAATAATAATAGAAAGAAAAAAAAAAAACAAGTAGCAGTAGAAGAAGAAGGAGAGGAAGAAGTAAGGAGATGTTTCTTTTGAGTGATAGAGAATCTATGCTCACCATCTGTTTGTTCCTTCTCCATGACAAGACCCCACGCTCTCCTCGAAAAGAAAGGAGGGAAACAACAAAAACCGCAAACAGTGTCCCTTGCTTTATGCTAGCAACCCCTATCCAGCCTTTGCCTCCTCCTCCATCCCCCAATAAATAATTTCAAAAAGTTGTTGAAGTAAACTCCCCTCAATTTTTTTATTGCCTTAACCTCTCTAACTGACAAAGAAATAAAAACACCAAGTACAGCCCATCCCCCGTTCTAATTTTTTTTACACAAATATTTCTTTTTTTAATGAATTTTCATTCAGTTAATAAAAATTGCATTTTTATTTGTTTTTAAAAATTCAGATATTTGTTTGGGTTTTTTTTTTGTGGGTTTTTCTCGTGTTTTATATGCTGGCCGGCGATGCCGACGCCGGCAACCGCAGCTCGGCAATGCTTAACGGAAGAAGCGGCGCGTGCGTTAGACGAAGCGGTGGCCGTGGCGCGTCGAAGGAGCCATGCACAGACGACATCACTCCACGCGGTGTCGGCGCTGCTTTCCTTACCGTCGTCCAGTCTCCGAGATGCGTGTGCACGCGCGCGAAGCAGCGCGTACCCGTCCCGACTCCAATTCCGCGCCTTGGAGCTTTGCGTCGGGGTTTCGCTCGACCGTTTACCTTCTTCGAAGACCGTCGAGGACCCTCCGATTTCCAACTCTTTGATGGCGGCAATCAAACGGTCGCAAGCCAATCAACGGCGCCATCCAGAAAGTTACCATTTACAGCAGTTGCACAGTAACAATAATAATAACAATAACGCCACCGGTTGTTCTCAGACGGCGTCGCTTTTGAAGGTCGAACTTAAATACTTTATTTTATCAATTCTCGATGACCCGATTGTTAGTCGGGTCTTCGGGGAAGCTGGGTTCCGGAGCTGTGACATAAAGTTGGCTTTAGTTCACCAGCCGGTAACTCAAGTTTCCCCTCGGTTTTCACGTACCCGTTGCCCGCCTATTTTTTTGTGTAACTTAACGGATTCGGTTTCGGGTCGGGTAGCGTTTAATTTCCGTTTCCGGGTCAAGAGACGGGGCTGATGAGAATTGTAGGAGAATTGGTGAAGTTATGGTTAAAAAGATGGGAAAAGTCCGTTGCTTGTTGGGTTTGTGCTGTAGAAGCTTTGAGGGGTTTTACAGAGAGTTTAGCAAGAGGGAAATCTGGTTTCTTGGATTGGGATTTGGCTGGGTTGAATGTGATTTCGATTGAAAATGAGGTTAATGAGCTCGTTATTGGAGGAAATGAGGAAAAATTGGAGATAAAGTTGAAGGAAATGGAAGGAGTTTTGGAGAAGTGTAATGGTTCTGGAGGAGTGGTTTTAAATTTTGGGGATTTGAAAGGGTTGATTTTGGATGGGGTTTTAAGTGATTCTGTTAGTGCTATGGTTTTGAAACTAACGGGTTTAATGGAAGTTTATAGAAGCAAATTATGGTTGATTGGAGCTGTGGCTAGTGTCGAAATGTATAGGAAGTTTTCCGACAAATTTCCCAATATAGAAAAAGACTGGGATTTGCAGTTGTTGCCCATTACTTCTTCCAAGAGTTCATTTGATGGGGTTTGCTCCAAATCCAGGTGGGTTTTTGCTCAATGCTGTAAATATCTTGTATATGGGTTTTGATAAAATATGTTCTTGTTGTTCATATTTTGCTTGATTGAAATTCTCTTAGTTATTGCAGTAATCTGTCGATTTCTTGCCAAAAACTGAAGTTTTCTCTATGCATTTCTAGAAGTGGAGTCACCATTTGTTGCATTATATATATACCGTATACATGTTCTTTATTTTTAGTTGCTTTTTGCTTTTTTGTGTTAGGTTATTTAAAAAATGTTTTGTTCAGGGGTTTTTGCCTACCTGGATGTTTAGTGACTCTTGTGTTGTTAGAACGTGTGTTCAATAAAATAAATATGTACTACTACTAGTAGTTAAAAAAGGTTTCATGCCTCGTGGCTTTGTCCTATATAATACTACTAAAGTTGTACTTGATAAGATAAAGGCACTCAAAAATAAATGTTTGGAGCTATATCAGGGCTTTCGGCTGGATAATTTGCGTCCTTTTAAGGTGTGGATGTAGATGTCACTTGAAGAACTGGGGATGCAGTATTTCAATAAAATATCTTAATACCAAATTAAGTCCTTAAGTCTCTAGGTTTTGGAGCAAAAAGGGCCTGGTTTTGTTTGTAAACAGAGCACCAAGTATATATAGATGAAATGGTTTCAGCACTAAAATTTCATTTTTTCTGATGACCATCTTGTTTGCACTTTGTCTTCAGTTCACCATAGCCCTAGAGTATGGGATATCTAGGGGCTGGGAGTGGCATCTAACGTGCCTTAATGACATCTTCTTTCTTTCAATGGATAATAAATTTTTTATTTATTTCTGGCAGAGAATTTACAAGAACTCCATTCTTAGGGGAAAACGTACACACTACGTATATTATGATCTAGCTGTGATGCTTCACCTATCTCATACTCATGACATATTTCTAGCTTTGGTTCTTGTCTCAGTAAATTTATAGGCTTGTTTTCATTTCTTTTCCTAATTTATATGGGAACTGGGGGATTAGCCGTGATTCTTGATCCAGGGATACATGCACCAACCATTGAGCTAATGCTTGGTTGCTATATGTTTGTCTCTGAAATGCAGTTCTTTTGCAGCACATTAGTAGTTAGGGCCATTCTAAGTTTATATTTGTATATGTATATATCTACTGCCAGTGCCCTTTAGCTTCTGACAGTTTTTCACCCAATGGATCTCACAGTTCCATGCTCATGACATACTTACAGCTTGATGGGGTCCTTTGTTCCATTTGGTGGCTTCTTCCCTACACCATCAGATTTGAGAAGTCCATTAAGTGGCAGAAACCAATCTATCCCTCGATGCAAGCCTTGTAATGAGAAGTATGAACTAGAAGTTGCTGCTATTCTGAAGGGAGGCTCAACAGCTTCAGTTGCTGATCAGTATTCAGAAAACTTGCCTTCTTGGTTACGGATGGCAGCAGTTGACACGACCAAGGGTGTGGATGTGACAAAGGTGGGCTAGCACTTCAGATTTTGAAATCCTCAACTTGGCTTAGATAAACAACCACATACATACTTTTTATCCATTGTTGGCAGTAGTCATATGCTTTATTTCAAAGATAAAATTATAATTAAGTTTATTTAAGGATGTGCTTCATTATTCAGTGCAGACTAAAGATGATGAAACCATGTTGAATGCTAAAGTTTCGGGGTTGCAGAGAAAATGGAATGATATTTGCCAACGTCTCCATCACACTCCACCATTCCACAAGTTAGATATTACCTCGGGCAGGTCTCCAGCTCCAATTGTTGAGGTCCCACAGTTTGCCACAGACAAGAAGCAAAGCAGTGGTGAAGATCTGTCTATCAGTGAAAGTCGATTTCCCGATCAAAGCTCCAGCACACAAATGCAATTGCAAAAGATTTTTCCACCAAAACCTAACATACCAATACCGTGTTCTGAAGCTGAGAATATTAATTTCCAATCCAGGTTACTTGCAGATGTGTCAAGCCTAGCTCAGCAGACAGATATGGATGTGCCTTGGTTTACTCATCACCCTCAGCCAAATCTGAGCTCTTGTCCTGGACGCACACCTTTATTTGTTCCTCCCATCACCACAGATTTAAAGTTAGGAACAATATATGCATCAACCAGTCAGGAATCAAACACCACAAAATCGCTAGATCATAAATCACATCTTCAGCACTTCTCAGGTTCCATATCTGCTGATGCAAATAGTGAGAATACTTCATATCAATTTGCCCAATCTTCGTCATGCTCTGGTCTTACATCAGGTGAGCATTTTGATCAAGGGGATTACAAGTCGATTAGGAAAGTTCTTTCTGAAAAGGTTGGCTGGCAAGGTGAAGCCGTAAATTCTGTCAGCCAGGCTGTATCAAATTTAAGGAGCAGATATGGAAGCCGTTATGGCATAAACTCTAAAGGGGATATTTGGCTTACTTTCGTTGGACCTGACAGACTTGGAAAGAGAAGAATTGCTTCAGCACTTGCTGAGGTACTATTTGGCAGCCAGGAAAACTTAATCTTTGTGGATTTGAGCATGCAAGACAAAGGTAGCCATTCAAACTCGATTTTTGAATGCCAAGAGTTAAATGGTTATGATGTGAAGTTTAGAGGAAAAACAGTTTCTGACTTCATCGCTGAGGAGTTGAGAAAGAAACCCCATTCTGTTATCTTCCTTGAAAATGTGCATAAGGCTGATTATTACGTCCAACGCAGTTTGGACCAGGCTATTAGAACAGGTAAATTTCCTGATTCGCATGGGAGAGAAATCAGCATCAACAATACAGTTCTTATAATGTCTGCCATCAGAAAAGGTAATATAAATGTTCTCTGTGAGAAGAAATCCATGAAATTCTCTGAGGAAAGAATACTGGGAGCCAAAAGCTGGCAAATGCAAATTTTAGTTGGTTCCGTTTCTGATGATGTCAGCAGAAGCAATGATACGAACACGAGAGTTGCAACAATAAAACATGCTTCCACTTCTGCAACTGTTAATAAAAGAAAGATGATTGACACTGGTTACTCTTCTGAGCTTGAAAAAACAGACACGAGAGTCCACAAGGCTCCAAGATCCTGTCTGGATTTAAATCTTCCTGTGGAGGAGACAGACGAGGGCATCAGTTTGGGGGACTCTGATAGTGAATCTCTCTCGGAGAACTCAGAAGGTTGGTTGGAAGAACTCTTTAGCCAAGTATATAAAAACATAGTTTTCAAGCCGTTTGATTTTGATGAACTTGCCAATAAAATTGTAAAGGAAGTCAGCTCACAATTTCAGACCACTGTTGGGTCTGGGGTTCGGTTGGAGATTGATGAAGAAGTCATGTTACAGATAGTCGCGGCTGCCTGGATATCAGACAAAAAGGAAGCAGTAGAAGACTGGCTTGAAAAAGTTCTCTGCAGAAGCTTTGCTGAGGCTCAGCAGAAGTACCATCTCACTTCTCAGTCTGTTGTGAAACTAGTTGCATGTGATGGTGTTGGTGTGAGTGAGCAAGCTCCTGGAATATGTCTTCCTGCAAAAATTAATCTGAACTGATTTTTTGATGCTGTAATTAAATTGTATAATGTAGCCCCCAGTTTATAGGTTCTAGTATCTAAAGCCTTTGGCAAGCATTCCCGTAATTCTTTTGGGTATTATTTTTGTGTTGTATTAAACGCAGTCAAAGAATGTATAATGTTCTCCTTGTCCAAAGAGTAACAGGTTACTTTCTTCTCAGCTTGCCTGCATTACCTGTAATCTGACCTTCCTGAACTTAAAGCTGGCATACAAAGACTCAAAAGGGGCAAAATGATGCAAGTTGGCCTTATGTGGTCAATTGACTAATCAGCCATAAAACTTTTTTCTCCATGAACCATCTCATAGGATAATGGTCCTTGTTTAATGGCCTTCTCCCAAAGCCCACTGCTCTACGTTAGCTGCTGTTTCAGCGCATTGGACTTAAAACCCATGCATGGTAGATGAAATAATCCCAATGCTGCTTTGTTTCTTTCGGCTAAGGTAAAGGGGGGTCTTTAGTTTGAGTCAACAGCCGCGCACTTGGTCATACTTCAGAAACCTACGACACTACTTGAAGTCACTATATTTGTCAAACTACTAAGGCCCAAGCCTTGGCTAAGAACCATAGGCTTTTCTCACAAAGCTTATGTCATGATTCTAGGCCTCCAGCAGACTAGCACTGCCTAACCCCTTCCGTCTCGCCAACTATTTACAAAGATGACATTTCCTTACCCCCCCAACCTAGTTTATATAACTTAGCCGTTCTAATAATAAATTACGACTGCTTCCTACTCCCTATGTTTTCTTACCAAAATCAACCAAGAATGTAGGGCACTGCTTTTGGTTTTCCTGTTTAATTCCTTTAGCTTCCTGTCATTTCTCTTCTTGTTCGGGTCAGGTTTGGTGACAGGGTTAGCGACAAGGATTTAACACTAACTAGAATACTAGATCAAGGATGGGCCAAGACAATTGTTTTAGAATGGAGAAACACTTCGGGTAAATATGTTGGAGCTCACTTATTAATCACTGACCATGGCTTGGCTGCCAAATTGTCGTGCTTGCAAACGAGTTTGAACATTTGTTTTGTGAGGGCTCCGAGGGTGCCATCTGCCCTTTTCTTCAAACCATTTACGTGCATCTGCAAACATCATAGCAAGCTTTTGCTTTCCTCATTCATGAAATTAATCATCTCTCTGATCTTTTTAACCGAAGATCTCCGGACCTTAAGGGCTAAATTTTGCACTGACACGAGTTGGAAAGCCAACAAAAGATGACGAGGCACACGTGAGATGACAGGAGGCCAGGTGGTACTGGACCGTGGTCCGGCTTACGTTATAAGCTAACCTTGTGGAAAACGAAACCGCCCTTGCATTGCAAAGACAATTTTTTCCACGCCCAACTCTGACTTTTCTTCCTTTTGATTTGATGGCTCTGTTTGTTTGGTGCTGGAAAAATTCGGAACTATGGCCTTGATGTTACACGTTTGCCTCAAATTTCTGGTCTCTTCCCGACCCTTTTTAGCTTTTCTTCCCCATAAACCAAAAAAGGTGGAAAGAAATTCAACAGCTTCCTACATATTTGATCATTCTAATGAGCTTCAGGATGTTAGATTAGTTTGATTCCTCCACTATAAGAACAACAAGCTTCTTCAACTAGTATTCTAGTCAGTACTATACATTAACATCAAATGTTTCAATGTCATTGTTTGACAGAAGAAGTATTCAATATTTTAACTTATTGGTTCTAATAATTGTGAAATTTCTTGGTCAAAAAGCTCATAATATGCCCATGGAATGGTAAATAAAAGAAGTGGAGTTCTTATCCCAACTCATCAATCTTTAATTTAATTTCCCTTACTTTAAACTTATTGAACCTCGACGGATAATTTATTCAAGAATAAAATTTATTAATTTGTAAATCATTTTTTAAAAAAATAATAAGAAAAAGAAAAATAATATCACATATTGATATAAATTAGCATTACCAAATTTTTCTAAAACCCTAGCTCCATTCAAGTCACAGTAATTAACATTGGAGTTTGTAACTTCACTTTGCATCTCCAACTATAGAAATTTATTATCATAATGTGTGGAGAAATTTGCCTGAGAAACATCATAATGAATAAACAAAAGAGGAAAGAGACACGCAGCACATCATTGTTTACTAAATGCATTCTGTGTGTTGATGAAGCAGACATTTCTTTAATTTAATATTCCTCTCAGCTCATAATAGGTTCTTTCCTTTCCTCGTGTTCAAAGATAGAAATCAATAAATAAAAGGTAAAATATTCTTATTCTTAAATTTTAATCAAAATTATATAAAAATCTATTAATTTTTAAAATAAACACCTCACCTCAAGATTAAAAACACTATTAATAAATATTATGAAAATATTAAAATATTTTTTTATTAATTTAAAAAATTATTAGTATATTTTTTAAAAAAAATACAAAAAAATTGGGAGCACCGATGAGTGTTCCCCAGCTCACCAAGAAACTTGAGGAGCCCCAACCGGGCTCCTTAAGGGATTTTTTTAATTAATAAAAAATATAAAAATTATTATAAAAATTAATCAAAAGTAAAATTATTTTTTTATTTGTATCTTGTTAGCAAGTTGATGAAAATATTAATGGTTGATTAACGGATAACATGTCCAATAAAAATATTTTTTAAAAATAGTGTATCTATTTTAAAAACTAATAAAATTTCGTATAATTTCGATCAAAATTTAAAAAAATAAAAATATTTTACTATTTGATTATTTTCTACATTCAATCCCCGTGAATTTTCCAACTATAAAAATGCATGATTGATTCATTATCCAAATAAAATAATATACATATGTATAATTATTACTATGAATTTGAGCTAAATGAGATCAAGACTAGGCCATCTCTATCTCTCTAGTCAAAAACTTTGATTATTTATTTTTGGATATACAAGAATATCAAAGGATAATTTCAACAAGTTTAATAGTACTTTATTAACATGTCACCTGTCGAAATTTTTTTTTTCGAGTCTTTGTTTTGGGGTATGCAAATGATCGATTCAAATCGATTCGATGCTAAAATTCCAAAAACCGAAAAAATTATTACTATGAACTATGATGCCTAACAAGCCATGCTTTTCTGTACAACTTTACTTAGCTTCTTCAGCCACTTTTAGTCATACCCTTTGGCACATTATATGGAAATGAATGTAGAAAAGTAGAATTTGCTAAAAAAAGAAAATGATCATCAACTATATGCAAAGGTCATAATTACCCCAATAATCTCTATGTGCAATGTATGATACTTTTGGGATGATAAGTATATGTAACAAGATCAATCATGACCATTGGCAATGCAACCCAATTCTTTTCCTTTTGCAAATCAAAGCCCCCTTTTCCACCCTTTTTTTTCCTCCTACTATATTAAATGAGCATCTATTCATAACCTTACTGAAAGGTGATGGAAACCATGGTGTGATTGATTGCAACATCCAATGCAATCTTTCCACCCATTGGAAAATGACATCAAATGCTTGGGTCCCAATCCTTCGAGAACCTTAGTGTCTTTTATGTTTTTAATACTGGGGTCCCTGATTTAGAGCACGCCATGGACTTTTCTATTGTATGCTTTTAAACAAATTCATAGATTTTAGTAGTCAAATTTGTCTCCGGGAAAAAGAAAAATCAGAGCCGTTCGATTCGTTTGACCCATTCGATTGATCGTTAAACTAAATTTAAAATTTTCTTAAAAAAAAAAAACCAAATTTCTAATCATTATTTTTGTTTGAGTGAGATTTACAAGGTTGATTTTTTATAATGCATTTGCTCTTCATGTTTATCCCTTTGGAAGGAAGTGTCAATGGTTCTTAGTACGACATCAAGTCTTGGAGCTACACCCCAAATTCTTATCCAATTTATTATTTTATTTATTGATGGACACTTATTATAAATATTTTAAGGAAGAATCTTGTATGGCGGTTTTGTTTGTATGTAGAATTCTTTAATTAGGGAAAAATAATACATAAGTTAAGATTATCTAGTCAGCAATTAACTCCACTTCAATATCCTAAACCATTAAGACAAATGTCATTTTTTTTTTTGTGGTTTTAAAGAAATTATTTTCAAGATATTTTGTTGTCTTATATTTTTGCATTAAGTATAGTTCTGCTTACGTCATTTTGCAATATATTTGAATTATTGATCCACTTGCCAAAAAAGAATTTGTAATATTCTTACATTCATGCATTAAAATAATTTGATGATGGAAATATTGGCTTTTATAAGATCGTTGCTTAACATTCATCATCCAACGAGAACATATATGTACATGTCATGAGCAACAATGACTATTTTGTTATTATAAAATGAATTGAATAGTCAATAACTTTATGTAGAATTAATTTATATTAATTCACGAAAACGTATCCGATTTTTGATACATGATTTGACAGTGAAAATAATATTAATCATATTAACTAGTGAGATTCAATGTATTAAGATTTTCTCCTCGTTTTTCTTTATAATTCTTTATTGAGTGAAATTTGTAATACTTTTTATCTAGACAAAAAAAGGGATTTAATCTTACCTTTATATGCAATCTTTTTAATACCTTCGAGGATTAGGTGCTCCCTCTTCATATATCCCCTTGACTATGTTTATTGGGGATTTTTTGATTATTTAAAAAATAAATTTTAATTTTTTTTTTCAATATGGTAAATTATTATGAAATTTTTTGAGGTGTTATAGGTGAGTATCAATAAAAATTGATAGCATTATTTATGAATTTTATTTTCTTTAGGTAGTTAATCTTGTGAGAAGAAATAATCCTTTCCTTAACTTCTTTTTGTATTTTATGGACTAATAAAAGCAAAGTAGAAGTGAGAGGGAAATTTACAATCAATAATGTGATGAATAATAGGTTTAGTTAGTTTAACTTTAACCCAAGTTTTGCAATGGCATAATAATTTCTTTCATATATAATTAACCTTTAAATTATAAATAAAAAAGAATACCTTGAAGATATGCAAAAGATTTCTTGCTGTGCCTTTGCAATATAAATGGAAGACAAATTGCCAAGAAAATGGTGATCATTAGTCTTTTGACAAACCTTTAGGTATGCCACTTCCCATAATCATTCTTCTATCTTTTGAATTTCTTTAGCTAAAATTATAAGACATTTGTTTTGTTTTGTTTTTTTTTTGGGTATATTGTACAAGACAATTGACATAACAATACTTTTTTTGGGTATATAATGATAAATGA